AGCCTTTTCCAAATCCACAAAACACATCTAGACTGGATAGGCAAACTCCCAGGCCCCCTCCAGTACCCTTGCACCCGTGTTCCACGGCCAGGACGAAAACCGCATTGTTCCTCCTGAAATTGGATCCTGCTTAGATTGCCACCTTATCGTGGTGGAGGGGTTTGCGTGCCTCAGTGACCCTGGGGGCTATGTTGTCGGGGCAATAGCCCCTGATAGGGTCTCCCAAGGCAAAAAGGTCCCAGGGGAGGGGCCAGACAAAGAGCAATCCAAAAGAACCCTATGATAAAGTATCCAAATGAAGTCTCGTTTCCCTCACCCGGACTAGGGTCACCGGGGCCCCACCCTGGAGCCAAGCCTGGGGGAGGGGCCCGTTGGCGAGCGCCTGGTGGCCGGGCCTTGGCCCGTGGGGCCCGGCCAGGTATAGCCCGAAAGAGGCACGCGGGGCTGTCCCCAGGTGGGCCCACCACCCACAAGGGGAATGTCAGGGGTTTGGTGCTTTGTGGATCGGGTGGCGGCCAAGGGAGGCCCTGGCGGTCCGATCCCCAGCTGACAAAACTCATTTCTCATTTCAAAATTAACAGGATAAAACACATATGAATCATGAAATTATTATTCTATTTAAAGTAAGGGCAAGATGTATATTTTGTAAATGCTATACATTGCACCTTTTTTTTTCCAACTGCATTTGTCACATGACTATTTTAGGCCAATCATAACTGAGTGATCACACCTGCTGTAAAAGCTAGGCTAGTTTCATTAGCTCAAGATGGATAATAACCCACTTTAGTCTTCCAAATTGCTGGCGGTTAATCAACCCCAGGAATTTTGTATCGTTTTTACATTTACTTACGTAGCTGACACTTTTTGTCCAAAGCTACAACCGAAAAGACAAAGACTTGGGCTTAGAGCAAAGGGCCAGCCGGCACTGCTGGGCCAGATGGGCTCAAGGGCCCCATGGTAATAAAATAACTCCACTAACTGAGGGATCTGAACCCATGCTGGAATATTCACTTGAAGCACAAATAATCAAACCAAGTCTTAGTTTTGGATATATTATGATAATACCAAGTGCCGTAGTGAAGAACATAATGCTTGGAAAAAAATTTAAGTAAAAGATAAAGAAATTACCCATGTACAAGAATAACGATTCATGGCTTCAAGCATCACAGCATACACGCCATTTTGAAAACAGATGACGAGACAGATGGGTTTCCTCTGGGTTCTTTGGTCCCGCCCCTCCTCCCAGGCCAAAACCATACTGGGTTGCTAAATGGTCTGTGTGTACGTGTGCTCTGTGATGGGCTGACATGCTGTTCTGGGTCATTCCCTGCTGTGCACCCATAAGCTCCATATGCCTGTTAAATAGCATAGCATAGAAAATGGGTGAGATAGTTGAAGCCCCTGGCCTTCAGCCTAGGTAACCCCATGCATTACCGCACCCCTGGAGACAAAAAAACTACTTTTTTTCCACCACAGTGATAAATGTTCTCAGTTCTCTTACTCCTCTCGAAATAACGACACACATCAATAAGATAAAATACAAATATTAAAATAAAAATAAAAACCATCTCATCTATTGTTCACCTGTATTGGCTCTATATTGATGTTATTAAACTTCATAATTTTTTTAAAAGACGGTCCCAGAGTGCAATGCTACCTTGGAGATCCCTTCAGGGGAGACAGGATGTCAGTCTTAGAAATTTTGAGCCTGGAACCAACCTGCTGTTTAACCTTCTGCCAGCAGAGCCAGGATTAAACCAGGATTTATAAAGTCAGATTTAAAGAAAAATAAAGTGGTCTCAATTCTTCTCCAGGGCTGTATAGTCTGTAAGTATAGTTATGACACTGTAACAACTTAGGAGTTATATTTTACGTGGCATCCTTTATTTTGTTAATAGCAGATTTGAATAAAAATGCAATGGAAGTGTATTACAAATTGAGAAGTCAAGAAATGTTTTCATTCTACAGTTTTTCTCAGTGATATGACTTGAGATGGGCTCCTTTACACTTCTCTTTGGTCTTAAGTCAGACTTCAGTTACAAAATCTTTCAAAACTAAAATACAAAAACCATTTAAACACAATGAGTAAATTACACAAAATGTAAGACAAAAAAGATACAAAATACACTTTTAAAACCAGAGGGTTTCCCGCTTGGAAGGTACAAAAAAGCAGGGCCCCCCTACAGCCGGGATCCCAGTTTGATCTCCCCCAGCCCACATCAGCGGCCAGTAGGAGCCCAGAGAGCACCGGCAGCCACAGGGCAGTGAGTCCAGCCAGTAGCGCTTTCCACCAAGTGTGTTACGTGGGTCATTGTACCTTTAGCTGGCAGAGCAGGACATGCGGCTGACAGGACATATTACAGGGTCGGCATGCTGTGGCCGTCAGCCTGCTCAGGTCGGGGGGGGCGTTTTACTTTGGTGGGGGGAGTCCTGAGCTGGGATTAACTGGCCATTTTAGACAACCAAGGTGAAAATTAAGAAGGAAAACATAAAGTACAAATTTTGTTCTTGGAGACTATATCCCTAATACTACACTTTGCATATAAACTTTTACATACATAAAGTCCTTGTTGTGCCAAAGGTGCCGCTTAGATTATATCCTGAGCTCCCCATACACCACCTCCGGTTCAGCCCTCTTCTCTCTCCTGCTCTTATTCTTGTTAAATGTGACCTCAGCGTATGTCATTTCTTCAGTGCCAGGTTTACTCTCTAGGTGGAAAGAAATCAGAGAGTCTGGTTATTCTAAGAGTTATGTGCCAACAATATAAACGTAGGTGTTAAGTTCCGATGTACAGCGAATGCGGCCGTTTCATTTCTGACCTTCTGCCTGCACATGGGGTCTCTTCCTGCAGTAACTATAAATCACCACTGTCAATACGAGGAGTAGGACCACTGTTCCCAGTGCGGCAAAAAGAATCTGCATCATATCAACTGCTGTAAAAGAAAACATTTTCTTATTGTTTTTCCAGCATGAATATCCTGTACATATTTATCTTTTGTATTCTTATGAAATAATGTGACAAATATATTCACTAGAGCCAGTGCTAAACAACAAAACAATAATAATAATAATTTACACTTACAATGATTATCATTTTTTTTTCCTGTTTGCTGGCTACTCGTATTACAAACAGCAGCCAGTGTCTCTCTCCCATCGACAGTGAAGAATATTTTCATATTATATAACAGAGAAGGGCTCACTGTAGCATTCATTCTTACTGCGATCTCTGTACCATTAGTCAAGGTGCAATTTACAACTGGTCCAAGTCCTGTAGTTTCAAATGATATGCAGTGAGATATGCTAACCAACCAAATGATGTATTATTCATTTATTATTTATGAAGAAAAGAGTTTAGTCCTAATCAGTCACATTGTGGGCAAAAAAATGACAAAATAACTGGTGTACAGGATTTTATTTTTGCCCCACATCTATTTCAGTTTAATTTCCCATTGGGATCAAAATATCTCCAGATCCATTCCTGTATCGCAATGACAAAACTCACTATACATTTTAGTGCAGATCACTTTGGTAGCAGATTATTGATTCTGTGCCAATAAAGGGCCCTTATTTAGAGTTATCATTTAGAGACCTGCATGCCTGCAGTAATGTAACACTGTGGATTGACCTGCACAGCTGGGGAGCATCTCTGTGGTATTTGCCTCACTGACGTTATTCTTGGCCGTACAGGTGAGCTTTCCGGACGTGTTCTTTCCCAGAATGACAGCTCCTTTCCCATCATCATAAACGGGCCTGGAGTGATTCAGGGGCAAACCATCCAGAAGCCAGGAGTACTGGGGATTATCCCCCACTGGGGAGGAGCAGGACACCCTCAGCTCTCCGTGGGGCAGGCAGAGTGGAGACAGAGCTGGGGGGGTTACAGGCACTGGGGGGAGAAGCCCGCCCAGTGTCAGGGTGACTGCTCTGAGTTAGTACTACACAGATACTCATCAGTGAGATGGCTGCCGGGAGTCAGATACATCATGCAGACAAAGAAGGTCTGTAATTATCAGACATAGTTACACAATGGATAAATATCTAACTTACCTTCAATGATCAAGCGGAATCTTTCACTTCGTATACTTGTGCCACTCGAGTTAAATACTTCCAAAGTATAAATGCCAGAAAGGCTTCTTTCTGCCTTGGTGATCATCAAGGTGCCATTCAGAGAAAAATTAAATTGAGATCCCCATTCTTCTGTACAATTATGCTTAAAAGTAATGTTGCCCTTTTTAAATTTGAAAATCACAGTTACATTCTTTTTGAGCGTTAGCTCATAGCCACTGGTTCCATTTATCAGCTGTATAAATGCAGGTCGTCCCAGAGCTACAGAATGTGTTTTAATGTCACTGTCTGAACCCGCAGAACCTGGAAGTGTCAGAAAAGATAAAGAATTCTGAATTATTTTGAAGAACATGAACTTCTTGCTGATCCCAAAATCAGTCACTATGTAGTACTTTGCAAAAAAACCCCAGCTAATCTAATCAGAGGACATCATTTGTTGTCCAAGGACTTTTCAATTAGAAAAATTATAAAGTATATGACACTTATAACACCAGGACCCAAAAACTGATTGTTGAAACTAAACTACAATTTCCTATTGATACGGTGACTGATCTTACCATTTCTTTTCAATTTCTTTTCCAAAAGCATGTGCTGGATGGTAATTTTGACAGAACAGCTTTTAAAGTTTGTGTTTAAAATGATAAAAGCATTTAATGCACAGCCTCATATCAAATCCTTACTAGATCGACTCTGGGATGTCAGGGTGTAATTCCCAGTGTTTTAGCTGTTGAATCTACCTGTCACTGTGAATCTGAATACAATTTAAAATGATTGTTTATGTCCTGGGGCCTGTACTACAAAGCAGGCTTACTGGCATAATTATTGGGGTAACTTGTCGGATTTAAGGTAGTCTGGGCAAAATGCAAGTGAATGAATATGAAGTCCATTTAAACTGTGGTAACTTAAATCCAAATAGTTACCCCGATAAGCCAGTAACCCCGCTTCGTAGTACAGGCCACTGATAAGAAATGGTTGTTGCTGTAAATAATAACAGCAAGATCTTTTTCTTTACTCATCAATTACAGGTGGTAATGCTTTGACATGTTTTTGACAATCAATAGAATTGTGAAATGTAAAAAAAAAACTTGACTTGCAGCTCTCATCTATAATGCATTATAGATGCCTTCATGATGCATTACAAAGCTCTTTAATTCTAATTTTGAATTAATTCATGAAAGAAAAGTAAGTTCCTCTTATTTAAACTGAAAGTATATGTGACAGTTCTGCAACTGTGAACTATGTAATATTTGTGTTTTGGTTGAATTTGTATGGCGACAAGTGCATCAATCTTTTAAAAAATCATAACTCCAGAAGGAAGCTCACCAACAGCAACAATATTTTGTCAGATCATCTTCAGGTATTTAAACATACATAATAAAAATTTGCAAATATGAAAATGATGGTTAACTACCCACATGGTAAATGAGGACATGGAAATAGGAAATTTTGAGGAAATTTGAAAATCGAGTCCATTTAAAACATAATTCCAACACTCTTATAACAGTAATATGGTTACTGCTCTATCCATCTATCTATCTATCTATCTATCTATCTATCTATCTATCTATCTATCTATCTATCTATCTATCTATCATTTGTCTATACACATGGTCTAAAGTGTCATAAATGACAGGAGAAAAACTGAATGCTTTATCTAGCGTACTGTTTGTGAGAAGCTCTCAAAGGGGGTGTCGTTTTGTTGCATTTTGAATTTTCTGCCATTTTCAGAGCTTTGTAGGAGGAAAAGTACATAAGAAACACTAGATCTGACTGCATTTCCGAATTCTACAGTGTAATCACAATCATTCTAAGCTCTACATGCCATTTCAAAGGAGCTATGAATGTGGAAATTTGAACCGACAGGCATATTCAGCAAAATGCATAATTAATTAAAATTCCAAAGGCTGTAGTTTCAAAAGTATTACAGATACAGGCTTAATATTTGGGATTTCTCCATAAGTTTGGTATAGGAACACCTGTGACTTTTTTCAGGGGGATTTCAGAGGGTGACCTGGGACCCTCTGGGTGATTTGATTAGAATGACCCTACTTTCTGTTCAGCGTATAAAACCTACCCGATTAATTTCCAGTCATGATTCTTTTTTCAAATTCACTTTAGTAATGTGCAACAAAACTATTTTATTTAACTTTATTAAATAATTTATTTTATTTTATATTAATTGTTTTTAAATACACTGTTATAATATTGAGTAACCAGGATCCTCTTTTTCCATTGTGTTTGTTTTAGGTTTTAATTGTAATAATTCAATACATTTGATGACAATAATTTCTGTATCCTCTAAATCGAGCATGCAGCTGCGTAGTAACATTACAGGTTTGAACCCCGCTCAAAATTTATTTGCTCCTGTCCAGGCATGGAGCTGAGTAGCAAAATAGCAATTTTGAACCCCCCTTGAAATTTGCCAGGCCCCCCTCGAAATTAATTCCTGGCTACAGGCCTGATTTAAATATATTTGATTTTAAACCAACATTAGCAGCATGACTCATGCATTTTGGATTGAGCCTTCAGTGATAGATAATTGAGACAGATTTTTCCTATTTACAAGGAGCACATATATATAAGCCTAGCAAACAGATATCATGTCACATAGCTCAGTAACTGTTATATCTTACTTACCATGTGCTGCTGTTGCCATTATTAAGAAAAGCACAAAAACGGGAGACATTCCACAGATCAAGAGACTTTGAGTTAAACAGTTTATCAAGTGGAGAGATAAGCTAATTTGCATGGGTAAAGCAGAACGTGCTAAATTAACTGTGAAGCATAATACAGACTGAAAATGAGGAAGTTTTATTGTGTATAATTTTTATCAGTACCACAGAGGAGACATACTTTGACGCATGTGACAGCGGAAGAATAAAACCACTAATACCAGCACCCTGGTATTTTGAGAAATAAACTTCTTACTGCTATTGAATCACTTTGACCACAGGAATAAACACTGAAAGTCTGACGCTTGCTAGGTTGTTCTGCAGCACAACAGATCTACTAAGAATGCTAGTATTATGGTGAAAAAACACTGTAAATGTAAGTGTTTTGTCTAGTGGAAAATGATGTGTGTTTTATTGTGTCCCTGTCTACCTGTCTGTGCACCTTCATATCAACCAGGCAGCACAATGGAGGGAGACCCACAAGCCTGAGGAACTGCAAGCTCAAATTTGATGGTAATGCTGCAAAAAAAAAAAGAATTTTTTGCAGAGAATGTCCAGGCGCTCTCCAAAAAAATCCATTTAGGAGACTCCAAAATGACCCTTGGTATCCAAAATGATGTTTTTACTCCAGACATAAACCTGGTGTCATTTGAAAGGTAACACTCCCTGAGTCAGAATTACTTACAGTGATTACTTACACTGAAATAAAGGCATTAAGTTTGCTCATATTCACCTCTTTACTCCCACCCCCCATTCATTGCCCCTAAGTTTGCTCATATTCACCTCTTTACTCCCACCCCCCATTCATTGCCCCTAAGTTTGCTCATATTCACCTCTTTACTCCCACCCCCCACTCATTGTCCCTAAGTTTGCTCATATTCACCTCTTTACTCCCACCCCCCACTCATTGCCCCTAAGTTTGCTCATATTCACCTCTTTACTCCCACCCCCCATTCATTGTCCCTAAGTTTGCTCATATTCACCTCTTTACTCCCACCCCCCATTCACTGTCCCTAAACTGCAAAGGTGTGCATGTGGCTTTATTTAGTCTCACACCCCGGACTCTTCCTTATGTGACGGCTCTCATAGTAAGAGGTACTGAAGGTGGTGACTGTGAGGGAAAGTGCTAAAGATGCCTCAGTGTTCTTGGTTGCTGATTTGAATCAGAAATACAATCTTCACTGCCACATGACCAAGACCGGAGGAAATTTTTGTTGGTAAAGTTTGCTAATGTTGGAGACACCATCAAAACAGGCAACTAACAATTAGGGTATAACACAGACAGAGAATAAATACAATGCACAAGATACACAACACAGAGGAGTAAATGCAGGAGATGTTTCTTTCCATAAGCTGTTTGACTACTGAACAGCCCTCAGCTTCCTCCACTCACCAGGATTACACTGCTTCATGCTGCTCTTCACACCAGACACTGTCTGTAAGCCCCATATCACCAACTACTGCAGAGACTTTATTCTGTAAATGTGTTCATTGAATCTGCTGCTTAGACGTTTATCTCTGTTCTACCTCATCCCTCACACAGCTGATGTCTTTAAAATCTCCTGTCTAATTGCAGTGTATGTATTTTTGCACTCTCGCTATTGTTCGCTTTGTGAAATTGCACCGTATTTGAAGTGTGTGCATATTTATGTATATCTGTAATCTTATATCCGTAAATGTTATTTCTTTTAATTTTGTCTTCATAGGGCTCCTAGCTTGACTAATGCTACTCCCCTTATTGAATTGCTGCAATGGTCCTTCATACAGTACTGGTTTACGTTTATATTGCTGCTACAAAATCTTAAGGCCTTTTGCAAAGTTTATTTGGTTGACATTTGCTTTGTTGAAAATACAATTTGGAGTTCAGTGTTGACACACCACAGCACACAGTGCACAACAACAAAATGTGTCCTCTGCATTTAACCCATATGTGACATAGCAGGGGGCAGCTAATTCAGCACCCAGGGAGCAGTTCTTGGCGGCGGTGCCTTACTCAGGGTACCTCAGTGGTGCTTTGCTGGTCGGGGATTTGAACCAGTAATCTTTAATTACAAGTGCGCTTCCCTAACCATTTAATCACCACTGCCAACACTATGTTTCATAAAGCGGAATGAAAATTGGTAGCTAAGCATCCGCCACAGAACCTGTGAAACATCAACATCCACACTTGCTTGTCCATCCATGCTCAGATGAATGCACATTGTATTAGAAGGTTGCCAGTTCAAATCCAGCCTCAGCACATCTGTGGGTCCTTGAGCAAGGCCCTTAACCCCCAGCTCCCTGGGCGCCACTACGGGTGGCTGCCCTTCGCGGACAACTTACTCTACAAAGAGCAAGTTGAGGGAGGCGTAGAGACAATTTCCCTACGGGGATCAATAAAGTATTAATTATTATTGTTATTGTTATTATGGATGTA